CCCCCCCCCCCCCACACACACACAAACACACACGTGAAATATCTGTATTCTGTTACCTGTTACTGAATCTTGGCCCCCTACTCAACATGAACAATAATGGATCTATTGGATACAACAATGGTGGTATGTTATGGAAGGAATACCCTATAGATAAGTGCTGACCAGTCGCACGAACAAGGTCAGACCGTGACAGGTCAAGTATAGTTACTGTCCTGAATAAAACTAATTAAAATGTGTCAATTTGCCCCAACATTTGCCTGTAAATACCTCTCTTCATTTCAAAGAGCAAGTTGACCGAAATCGAAAATTGATCAAAACGTTTAGCAGAAATTTTAGTATGCTTCGACCTGACATAAATCGGTGCTTAGTTCAACTACATTAAATGTTGCGCGTGTTTAATAACAAAATAGACATGGCTAGCGTTTCAGTCCAATAGTTGTGGACTATTATACACTTATCTTGATCTAAAATAGATAGAAATTTTGGTCTACAAGTTAAGACCAATGCCCAGGCTAAGTTTAATATACAAACTCCGGAGCAAGAGGATGCGCCTTCTCAAATTAAGTCATCAGATCCTATCTGCTTGTTAATTATATTAACACTTGAGGCATGAGATTTAGCCAGCATTCATGCACAGATGATTGCCAAACCGCTGCGAAAGAGATGGATAGGAGGCAGGCACATGTCAAAAAAGAAAATATATATATATATATATATCGTTTCCTTTGCCGTGTTTGTTTGTGAAAGCTCCGTTAATGGTTTATTGGATCGACCATTATTATTTGATGGAATTATTATGTCTTGTTGACAACTCCTTAAGCGTGAAATAAGTCATTAGTCATTTCCAATTGACATTCGTCAAAAACAGCGAGGATTTTTGTCAGTTTCTTTTGCAGTATCGTGGTTCGTAAATGTATTAAAACATAAATTCATGACTGCCACAGAATTGATATGTATAGCCTTCATTAGTTTGCACTCATACACAACAACTGCCAATAAAGCTTTGAGAATAATAAAACATACATCAAGACATCTCAAAACACGTTAAATGATGTAGCATTTCACGTCGTTATTTTCCAAGAAATCGACGATAACCCAAGCGATATATCTTACTGGTCTTATCTAATGATATTGACGTCATCAAAGAGTAGCTTTTCTCTGTAATCAATACCATCTGATAATATCTGAGTTATAGCTGGATCTAGGTCGGTCTTATTGTTTGTGTGCTTATTGTTCTTGCTCTTCGTTGTTGCGATAGTTTCAGACACACCGCGCGGCGTTTGATTACATGTCCAAATCAGCACTGATTACTTAATACAGCTGAAACTTATTGAGTGCTCTTATTTTATTAGTGTGCCAGCAAATCGCGGCAATGGCAAATCTTCTCATTTATGAGTTTTCTAATTGTTTTGTGTCTGGGAATTGTATATGTCTGTAGGCGTTAATGTAAGGCAAATAACTGAATAAATTGTGCATCTAATTGGTATTATGGTTGTTGCTGTGGTTCATTCGTTAAACAAGATAATATCGGAGATTATTGCTTCAGGAAGAACGGAAAATTATCGAATCATTCGAACTTAATTAACAAAGATGACTTCATAACCATCCGTTTTGTCCGAACAATAAATTATTTTAGAGGCAGAGGCCAATATGTATATAATATACGTGTATCTAATATACATGCATAATTTAAAAGAGCCAATGTAAAAGCTTCACCAACCACCAGCGCTGCCTTCTTGATTCATTAGACGTACATGTAACCACAATAGAAAGGAGAGAGAATAAGTGGGTTCCTTTTTATTCTGAAAAAAACAAAAAAAAAACAAAACTGTATTTAATGTTTAAGGCCTCATGTCTTGGGGGTTCCACCAACTTTATTCGAAACCCGCTCTTTCTGATAGCATTGTGGTGTTCTCGTAAGGACTACTCTATTTATTAATTTTTTAAAAAATTCAATATTCTTCGATCTGTGTCAACCATTACTTGTTATCATGCAGTACACAATACTTTCATTAGCAGTGTTGTAAATGAAAAGAAGTCGTTCGTGATCTCAAGCGCCTGACGCACGCGCGAGACTGAATTAATAAGCTGATATTGTTGCCAGTCGAGTTGGGCAGCGGTCACCTAGAGCGGTCAAATTAGTCCATAAGGTCTCAGCGGAAAATAGGTTTAGAAATGAGCATGCTACCATTTTGCCAGTGGGAATGCAGTCTAAATCTCATCATTTTAATCAGACGGTCGCAGCGATTACCTCAAGCGCAGGCAACCAGTGGTGGTGTGCGGGACCGGAAAAATACTATTTTGTTCATTGTGGTGAGATCATCGTAGTCAATGGTGTGCGGGACCGGAAAGATACTATTTTGTTCATTGTGGTGAGATCATCGTAGTCAATGAATTCGCTGCGGCGTGTCATAGAGTGTATTCCCATAGATTTAGATCGATCCATCTCGATTGACCCAACTCCCTGGGTGGTTCACGCTAAATTGATGTCAGCCGAGCGCGCACGGTAGTTAATTACCCCCTTACAGCTTTTAGTAGGCGGGACAGACACCTAAGCCGGCTGAGCTGACAGTAATCTAGTGAGACTCCCCACAGGGATAGATCGCTCTAAAATCTGTGGGCATGGGGTCATACCTACCCATGTAGTTACAGTTGGGCCGACCTAGCTTTACTGGAAACACAACTTCACCCCGTCGTATATACGTCATCAGTCTCGTGACACCATGCTAGTGTTGTCATACAGGAAAAGCCTGCATGTACTAGACCTGCAGCCGCATGTGTGATTGTAAAGAGGTATGCATGTAACCGGTAGATTCACGTTAACCTTTTGAGACTTTTGGGTGTACTAGTAGGCCAATCGCGCTGCAGTGTTTAGAAAACACAATCAGCTCTGATATCAGGGGCTTGCTTCTAATTGTAATATTTAGTTCTTATAAATGTTTACATTTAGCTCTTTTAAATTGTAACATTTAGCCATTTTAATTAAAAGTGATTGTAAGGTGCATTGAGATTTTAATGGAATGCGCCATGTAAGAATAATAATAATTATTATTTAAAAAAGTATACAAGATAACACTGTGAGCCATTGAACACTCTTTGTAACAGACTAATAGCGCACCCTGCGGCCAGAGAGTATAC